TTTGTATTTTCTATAATTGGGTTATGTACCTGTAGAAAATAAATTATTATTATTATTATTAAAAAATTGGAAAATCGAAAAATTGAGAAATCGAAATCGAAAGTTAAGAATTGAAAAATTTGAAATTAAAGAAAATCGAAAAATTGAAAAAAAGAAAATATCTAAAACCGGAGAAGACTAAAGATCGAGAAATGGAAACATCAAAAAATTGAAAAACCGAAAATTTAAAAATTCGAACCATCAAAAATCGAATTAGTTGATAAATCTAAAATTTAAAAGTGGAAAAATCGAAAACCCGAGAAATCAAAGATCGAAAACTTGAAAAATCCGGAAATTGAAACATTCCAAAGCTAAAATGAAAAATTGGAATATCGAAAAATTGAGAAATCGAAACAGTCCAAAATTTCAACTAAAAAAATTTCGAAAATTTGAAAAATCGGCAAATGTACAATCTAGAAGTCGAAAAATCGAAAATTTAAAAATTCGAAAAATTGAGAAATCAAAAATTTAAAAATCTAAAAATTGAAGAATCGGAAACTTGAAGAATATAGAAATTAAAACATTCCAAAGCTGAAACGACGAAAAATTGGAATATCGAAAAATTGAGAAATCGAATGAGCCCAAAATCGAAAAACTGGAAAATTAAGAATTGAAAAATTTAAAAAATGAAAAATTCAAAAATCGGAAATTCGAACAATGGAAAATTTGAAAACTCGTGAAATACACATTCCAAAACTGAAATGACGCAAAATTGAGAAACTGAAAAATTTAAAAGTTTAAAAATTGAAATCGAAAGTTAAGAACTGAAAAATATGAAACTTAAATAATCGAAAAATCTAAACATCTGAAACCGGAGAAGTCGAAAGATCGAAAATTTAAAAATACGAAAAATTGAGAAATCTAAAATTTAAAAATCGAAAAATTGAAGGATCGAAATATTGGAAAATTAAAAAATCCTAAAACCGAAACACTGAAAATTTTAAAAACCGACATCAAAAATTCTCAAAGTCGACAAACGTAAAATTCAAAAAGTGGAAAAATTGAAAAATCAGAAACCCTAAAATTTAAAAAATTGAAAAAATAAATTATTGAAAAACCGAGAAACCGAAAAATCAGAAAAATAAAGAATTGAAAAATTTCAAACAAAAATATTCGAAGAATTGAAAAATCGAAAAATCTGCAACCGAGAAGTCGAAAAATGGACAAATTAAAAATTCGAAAAATTTTTGGAAACTCGAGAAATCATCATTAAAAAATCCAAAAATTGATAATCTAAAATCTAAAAGTGGAAAAATTCGCCAAAAACTCGACTAAAAAAACGTAGAAATCGAGAAATCTAAAATTTAAGACAATTTAAAATACAAAAAATTAATAGTCGAGAAATCGGATTGTTCAAAGAATCGAAAAATTCAAAAATTTAAAATTTAAAAGTCGAAAAACCGAGAAATCGAAATTCCAAAATTTAAAAAAAGAAAAATTCAAAAATTCAGAACTCGTGAAATTTAACATTCCAAAACTAAAATAACGAAAAATTGGAAAATCGAAAAATTGAGTAATCGAAATCGAAAGTTAAGAACTGAAAAATTTGAAATTAAAGAAAATCGAAAAATTGAAAAATCGAAAAATCTAAAATATCTAAAACCGGAGAAGACTTAAGATCGATAAATGGAAACATCAAAAAATTGAAAAATCGAAAAATTAAAAATTCGAACCATCAAAAAATCGAAAAGTTGATAAACCTAAAATTTAAAAATCGAGAAATTGAAAAATTAAGATAATCAAAAATCGAAAATTCACGAATTCAAAAATCTAAAATTTAAAAGTCGAAAAATGGAAAACCCGAGAAATCAAGAATCCCAAATTTCAAAAAACGAAAAATTGAAGAATCGAAAACTTGAAGAACCTAGAAATTGAAACATTCCAAAGCTGAAAAGACGAAAAATTGAGAAATCGAAATAGTCCAAAATCGAAAAATTGGAAAATTAAGGATTGAAAAATTTCAAATAAAAAAAATCAAAGAATTAAAAAATTGTAAAATCTGCAACTGAGAAGTCGAAAAATCGACAAGTTAAAAATTCGAAAAATTGAAAACTCGAGTAATCGAAACATCAAAAAATCCAAAAATTAATAATCTAAAATCTAAAAAGTGGAAAAATTTGAAATCAAAAACTCAACCCGAAAAATGTAGAAATCGAGAAATCTAAAATTTTAAAAAAATTAAGATACCAAAAAATTGAAAGTCGAGAAATGAGAAGTTCAAAGAATCGAAAAATTCAAAAATCTAAAATTTAAAAGTCGAAAAACCGAGAAATCGAAATTCCAAAATTTAAAAAAAGAAAAATTCAGAAACCGGAAAATTTTAAAACTCGGGAAATTTAAACATTCCAAGACTGAAATAACGAAAAATTGGAAAATCGAAAAATTGAGAAATCGAAATTTGCCAAAATCGAAATCGAAAGTTAAGAATTGGAAAATTTGAAATTAAAGAAAATCGAAAAATTGAAAAATAGAAAAATCGAAAAATCGAAAATATCTAAAACCGGAGAAGAATAAAGATCAAAAAAATTGAAAAATCGAAAATTTAAAAATTCGAACCATCAAAAATCCAATTAGTTGATAAATCTAAAATTTAAAAGTCGAAAAATCGAAAACCCGAGAAATCAAAGATCGAAAACTTGAAAAATCGGGAAATTGAAACATTTCAAAGCTAAAGTGAAAAATTGAGAAATCGAAATTGCAAAATTTAAAAAAAGAAAAATTCAGAAATCGGAAAATTTGAAAACTCGGGAAATTTAAACATTCCAAAACTGAAATAACGAAAATTTGGAAAATCGAAAAATTGAGAAATCGAAATTTGCCAAAATCGAAATCGAAAGTTAAGAATTGAAAAATTTGAAATTAAAGAAAATCGAAAAATTGAAAAATAGAAAAATCGAAAATATCTAAAACCGGAGAAGAATAAAGATAAAAAAAATTGAAAAATCGAAAATTTAAAAATTCGAACCATCAAAAATCCAATTAGTTGATAAATCTAAAATTTAAAAGTCGAAAAATCGAAAACCCGAGAAATCAAAGATCGAAAACTTGAAAAATCGGGAAATTGAAACATTTCAAAGCTAAAGTGAAAAATTGAGAAATCGAAATTGCAAAATTTAAAAAAAGAAAAATTCAGAAATCGGAAAATTTGAAAACTCGGGAAATTTAAACATTCCAAAACTGAAATAACGAAAACTTGGAAAATCGAAATATTGAGAAATCGAAATTTGCCAAAATCGAAATCGAAAATTAAGAATTGAAAAATTTGAAATTAAAGAAAATCGAAAAATTGAAAAAAAAGAAAAATCGAAAAATCGATAATATCTAAAATCGGAGGAGACTGAAGATCGAAAAAATGGAAAAATCGAAAATTTAAAAATTCGAACCATCAAAAATCGAATTAGTTGACAAATGTAAAATTTAAAAGTCGAAAAATCGAAAACCCGAGAAATCAAAGATCGAAAACTTGAAAAATTGGGAAATTGAAACATTCCAAAGCTAAAATGAAAAATTGGAATATCGAAAAATTGAGAAATTGAAACAGTCCAAAATTTCAACTAAAAAAAATTCGAAAATTTGAAAAATCAGCAAATGTACAATCGAGAAGTCGAAAAATCGAAAATTTAAAAATTCGAAAAATTGAAAAATCAAAAACCCTAAAATTTAAAAAATTGAAAAATTAAAATATCGGAAAACCGAGAAACCAAAAAATCACAAAAACTAAGAATTGAAAAATTTAAATTAAAACAGAAATTCGAAAAATTGAAATATCTCAAACCGAGAAGTCGAAAAATCCAAAGTTCCGGGTGTTTTGTTTTCAAAACAATTTGAAAAGATTTTGGACCTGAATTCTAGTGTTTTGTTTTTAAAACAATTTGAAAAGATCTTGGGACCATCAGGTGTTTTCTTTGTGCACAAAATCTTTCTTTAAAGAATATGATGGATTTTTTTAAACTAGTTGGGATCTTCTAGCGTTTTGTTTGTGAAAGAATATGCAGGAGTCTTAGGAACTTCTATTTTAGGATCTTAGGGAATGGGAAAAAATCTTCGAGGTCCCGTGGTATTTTTTTAAATTTGTTAATGTCAAAATATACAATCAAATATATAATCATTTTGACCGATACAGAAGCACTATCGAAAATTTAACATTTTAAACCCCTACAGGGGGCGCACAAAAAGTACCACCACAATTAGTCGAACAACACTTGTAGTTGTCTTGACACTGCGAGTCGAAAGTACACAAATGGGCACAAATACCCACTCCCATTGTCACAGGACAGGAACCTGGTTTGAGTGTCAAAACTGAAACACTCAGAAGCAACAATATAACTATAACTGTCTTCATGCTGGATTTCAAACAAATGTAAACAAGCCTCGACTTATATACCAAAATTTATCAATTATGTAAATAATAACTACCTGCTGAATCAACGGTTCAACCACAAGCGATAAACAATATCATGATCAGGTCGTTGCTCCAATTTGACAAATTAATTGTCGTGAGGTAAACATCTCTTTGATAAGGCCACAAATTTATACAAATGTTTTTCAAAACTTCTCTGAAGTAGAATTGATGGAATTATTTGTCAGCGGCAGCACAAAGCCCCCATTACTCTCCCCATTGACATCTAGCACTCCTCGTCCTGTCACCGTCCAACATGTTCGACATCGATTTCGGGCCGTGAGAATACATCATGATCATTGATTGCATCCGAGCACGAAAAAAAAAATAAATGATGGTACACGAGAGTGAATATTGATGTCCTTCAGGAATCTGTGGCAGCACGATAGAACCAGTTTTTGCCAAGATCTGAGTGACAACTCAATATCGAAGCTCTTTGGATGTCATTACATCACTCGGGGAAATCGTGTTCGTTGTAGCATCTCAAAAGTGCGCAAAAATGACGAAACCCGTATCATGGCTTCCTAATCGTATTAATTATTCCTTTCTTTGCTTGTTTCAGCTGTCACCGTTCGCTACCTAACGAAGCGTTATATTGGAGAATACAGTTCAACGAGTGGTGAGTAGATTTTTTCTTTGGCTTAATTAATGAGGAAGTGGGAGGTTTTTGTGGTGGTCGGTCTATTTCTGTCGGGTTGCGGAATTGATGGCTGTGGAAAGAGAACTAGCAGTTCTTGTGACTGGCGAGAGTTAAAATCACTCTTGACGAGAATATAATGAACAGCGACTTCCAGTTGTCAAATGTGTCGACTTTGTTACTAATCAAGAGAGATTGACGAAAAAGGTGCAAAGAGCTACCCAGAAACAACTCTAGCAGTTCCAGGAACCGGAAATCCTCGCGAACTAACCCGACCGCACCTCATTAATAAACTGGCTTTCCATTTATTCGTTAATTGGTGTCAGTCTGAAAAATCTATGAGTCAAGTTGTCGCAAGTTGCTGGATGTCGCTAAACGTCCGATAAAGATTGGACCACCTACTGTGCAACTGAGTAAAAGCCTCTTTCACAAGATAATGGTTAAAATGGCAACGCAATGACACATCACGGATAAACGCCTCTCTCACGTTCGTCGGAATATCGCAGCCAGTTGCTAGAACGGATGTGGAAGGCGCCAGGACGAGAGAGAAAAAAAGGGGATGGGAAAGATTTGCTGGTGGGTTTGGTATTCAGGAAAAAGCTGTTACCTACATAGGTTTAAGTGATCCAAAAAATGAAACCAGTTGGTCGAGAAAAACATCGACTGGGGGAAACATGTAGCGTAATTATCTTATTTCATTTAAAAGTATAATCCTTGCGGGGATTTTTTGCAATTAAGGCTATTTTGCTCTGGAATTTAGACTCATATGTGTGTTTGTGGGGAAAGAGTTTTTTCTGTAGAGAAGATGAGTTGGAATGAGGTGACTTTTTGTGCTTTTTCGTGATAGTACTGGAGAATGCTGTAGAAAGTATTACAAAGTTGCATAGAACATTGACTAGAAGAAAAAGAAAGACGACAAAGAATACTTTTTCTAGAAAATTTTAGAAATCCATAGATCCTAAGTTCTTGAAATTTTAAAGGTTCCAGGAAATCTAGGTGTGTTTTAAAAGGTAAATAAATATTCTATTGATTTAACAATTCATAGATCAAGAGATCCTTGAAAACTGTGAGAATCCGCAGATGATCCAAAAACTTCCAGATATTTCGGAGAATCTACGAATTTTGGAGGTTCTATATATAAACTCCAGAACTTGGAAAAAAAGTTTAGAAATCAGAAATTCTTAAGATCCTTGAAATTTAAGGATCCTATATAACTTCGATGCACTACAGATTTTAATAACGACTTTAAAATATAGAGGTCTTGTGATCTTAGAGATTCCAAAGATTCTAAATATTCTCGAGATTTTATAGCTCCTAGGAATTTTAGAATCTTAATGTTCCGATATGGTATCTTTAAATGATTTCAATGATTTCAGAGTTTGCAGCAATGCCAAAGATCGAACATATATTAAAGGTATAAATATTCTGGAGATATCAGAAATTTCAAAGTTCATTGAAGTTTTTAAGATTCTAGAAATTACTGAGCTTCCAGAGGTTTTGAAGGTACTAGAGTTAGTTATCAAGAGTCTTGGGGACTTCTAGAGTCTTTTTCAAAATGAGTAAGACTCTTGGGGCTTCTGGCTTAAATTGTTTTAGGAACTCAAAGAACCTTAAAGCTTGAGAATATACAAATGATCTATAAACTCTAGAGTTTGTAAAAAACGTCAGAAATTCTTCAAATCCTTGAAACTTAAGGATCCTAGAAATCTTAGACATACATATTTCAGATATTATAACGACTTCAAAATATAAAGATCCATATGATCTCAAAGGTCCTAAAGCTCCTAAAAATTCTAGAAATTTTAAAGGGTCCTAGAAATTCGAGAACTTTAGAGATCCTAAAGGTACTAGATGATTTCAAAATTTGCAACAATGTCAAAGCTCAAACATATTTTAAACACTATAAATATTCTAAAGATTCCAGAAAGTTCAAAGCTTCTAGGATTATCAAAGATTCTAGAAATGTCTGAGGTTTTAGAGATTTTAAAGGCACCAAAGTTGATGTAGATCTCAAAACTCCTAGATATTTCACACAATTTACGAATTTTGGAAATTCCATAAATTCCAGAGTTTGTAAAAATTTTTAGCAATTCAGAAATGTCAGAAATTCCTTAAACCCTTGAAACTTAAGGATCCTAGAAATCTTAGACATACTATATATTTCAGAGATTATAACGACTTAAAAATATAAAGATCCTTATGATCTTAAAGGTCCTAAAAGTCCTAAAAATTCTAGAAATTTTAAAGGGTCCTAGAAATTCGAGAACCTTAGAAATCCTAGAGATACTAGATGATTTCAAAATTTGCAACAATGTCAATGATCAACGATATTTTAAAACGCTATAAATATTCTAAAGATTCCAGAAAGTTCAGAAGCTCCTTGAATTTTCAAAGATTCTAGAAATGTTTGAGGTTTCAGAGATTTTAAAGGCACCAAAGTTGATGTAGATCCCAAAACTTTTCGATATTTCAGAGAATTTACGAATTTTGGAGGTTCTATAAACTCCAGAGTTGGAAATTTTTTAGAAATTCAAAAATGCCAGAAATTCTTGAGATCCTTGGAACTTAAAAAAATATAGAGGTGTTTGTGATCTTAGAGATGTCATAGATCATAAATTCTTGAAATTTTAAATGTTCTAGGAAATCTAGTTATAAATATTCTATAGATAGTTTTGTCAAAATTTAACAATTCATAGATCCAGAGATTCTTGAAAACTGTGAGAATCCACAAACGATATATATAGATCCAAATACTTCCAGATATTTCGGAGAATCTACGAATTTTGGAGGTTCTATAAACTTTAGAACTTGGAAAAAAATTTTATAAATCAGAAATTCTTAAGATTCTTGAAATTTAAGGATCCTATATAACTTAGATGCACTACAAATTTTAGAGATAATAACGACTTCAAAATATAGAGGTCTTGTGATCTTAGAGATTCCAAATTTCTCGAGATTTTATCGCTCCTAGGAATCTTTAAATAATTTCGATGATTTCAGACTGTGCAGCAGTGCCAAAGATCGAACATATTTTAACAGGTATAAATATTCTATAGATACCAAAAATTTCAAAGCTTCTTGAAGATTTTAAATTTCTAGAGATGACTGAGCGTCCAGAGATTTTAAAAGTACTAAGCTGGCAAGAGTCTTAAAGAATTCTAAAGACTTTTTTCAGAATGAGAAAGACTCTTTGGGCTTCTGGCTTAAATTGTTTTAAGAATCTTAAATAACTTTAAAACTTGAGAATCCACAAATATTGTAGATCCCAAAACTTTCAGATATTTCAGAGAATTTACGAATTTTGGAGGTTCTATAAACCCCAGAGTTTGGAAGAATTTTTAGAAATTCAGAAATGTCAGAAATTCTTCAGATCCTTGAAACTTAAGGATCCTAGAATATTACATATTTCAGAGATTATAACGACTTCAAAATATAAAGATCCTTATGATCTTAAAGGTCCTAAAAGTCCTAAAAATTCTAGAAATTTTAAAGGGTCCTAGAAATTCGAGAACCTTAGAGATCCTAGAGATACTAGATGATTTCAAAAGTTGCAACAATGTCAATGATCAAACATACTTTAAACGCTATAAATATTCTAAAGATTCCAGAAAGTTCAAAAGCTTCTTGAATTTTCAAAGATTCTAGAAACGTCTGAGGTTTCAGAGATTTTAAAGGCACCAAAGTTGATGCAGATCCCAAAGCTCCTCGATATTTCTGAGAATTTACAACAATGTCAAAGATCAAACATTTTTAAACGCTAGAAATATTCTAGAGATTCCAGAAAGTTCAAAGCTTCTTGAATTTTCAAAGATTCTAGAAATGTCTGAGGTTTCAAAGATTTTAAAGGCACCGAAGTTGATGTAGATCCCAAAACTCCTCAATATTTCAGAGAATTTACAAATTTTGGAGCTTCCATAAACCCTAGAGTTTCTAAAAATTTTTAGAAATTCAGAAATGTCAGAAATTATTGAAATCCTTGAAACTTAAAAAAATACAGAGGTGCTTGTGATCTTAGAGAATCCATAGATCATAAATTCTTGAAATTTTAAATGTTCTAGGAAATCTAGGTGCAAATATTCTATAGATAGTTTTGTCAAAGCTTCTTGAAGTTTCTAAACTTCTAGAGATGACTGAGCTTCCAGAGATTTTAAAAGTACTAAGCTGGGAAGTCTTAAAGAATTCTAAAGACTTTTTTCAGAATGAGAAAGACTCTTGGAGCTTCTGGCTTAAATTGTTTTAAGGATCTTAAATAACCTTAAAACAACTGATGTAGATCCCAAAACTTTCAGATTTTTCAGAGAATTTACGAATTTTGGAGCTTCTATAAACCCCAGAGTTTCTAAAAATTTTTAGTAATTCAGAAATGTCAGAAATTCTTCAGATCCTTGAAACTTAAGGATCCTAGAAATCTTAGACATACATATTTCAGATATTATAACGACTTCAAAATATAAAGATCCTTATGATCTTAAAGGTCCTAAAAGTCCTAAAAATTCTGGAAATTTTACAGGGTCTTAGAAATTCGAGAACTTTAGAGATCCTAGAGATACTAGATGATTTCAAATTTGCAACAATGTCAATGACCAAACATATTTTAAACGCCATAAATATTCTAAAGATTCCAGAAAGTTCAAAGCTTCTTGAATTTTCAAAGATTCTAGAAATGTCTGAGGTTTCAGAGATTTTAAAGACATCAAAGTGGATGTAGTTCCCAAAACTCCTCGATATTTCACAGAATTTACGAATTTTGGAGCTTCTATAAACACTAGAGTTTCTAAAAAATTTTAGAAATTCAGAAATTCCTCAGATCCTTGAAACTTAAGGATCCTAGAAATCTTAGACATACTATATATCTCAGAAATTATGACGACTTAAAAATATAAAGATCCTTATGATCTTAAAGGTTCTAAAAGTCCTAAAAATTCTAGAAATTTTAAAGGGTCCTAAAAATTCGAGAACCTTAGAGATCCTAAAGGTACTAG